CTGTGCCGAAACAGCTTTGGGGGAGAAGGGCGGGCGGGGGCCGACGACGGGGGACCCGGCTCTGTGCGGGCCGGCCCCGGGCTCCGGGGCTCTGCGCCCTGAGCTCCCCCGGCTGGGCTGGGTCTGGCCAAGAAACAGAAACGGCGTGGCTGTGTAGCCCGGCTAAGGGGGTCTTTTTTCAAGGGGGCTGCCGTCTTGCTCCAGCATTTGTTAGGGCCGGGAGCAAGAATATCTGTCTCGGAAGATGGGGTATGAGGCCGGCCTCAAAACGATGGATGACCATGCCAAGGGGATGGGGAGTGTGAGGCGCCTCTCTCACAGCACAGAAGCCCCTGAAGAGGCTGGGAAACCATGACTGAGAAGTATTGTCCACAGGAATAACTAACAAGGTAACTGGGGTTTGTGACCATTGATAATAAAAAACCTGTGGAAAAAGGGTTATGTATTGCCTGAGTTGTTTGGGTTTGTGGGTTTTTCTTTTTTTTTGGGGGGGGTAGGGGGGGGGGGGGAGGTTAATAAGAACTTTATAACAATCTTGGAGTGGAAATTTGTGTATATGAGTGCATGCCTATTTGCCTTTGAAGTTGCCCTTCCCAGACAGCGATTGCAAGATTTTATGCAGTCAGAAAATATGCAGATTTCTGCAGCCACCGATCTCTGGGATTCTTCAGGACATACGGGTGGGCTCTGTGGATACGTGGATGTCTTATTTTGAAACCAGGCTGTAACAGAAGTGAAGAGCTGTGATGTTGCCAAGTGATGAGTGGGGTCTGTGGCTGTGCAGTGTGTGGCGGACAGAGGAGCCACTCCAGTATGTGTGTGTCTTTCAAACAGGATGTATCAGTAATTTTTTTAAGATAGACTTCACCATGTGTGTGCAAAGTAAAACCTTTTCAGAGTTCATAGTGAATCAGAATACAATAAACCCAAAAGACGTGGGGAAAAAAATATTGGCAGGTTTTAGAATTGACGTTTTATACTATGGCAGAGCTGAGATTTCCCCTTGTTTTGAGAGGCAGAGTGAGGAGAGAAGAGACTTTTCACGTGCAGCCTGGGGAGTGAAGGAAACCTTCCAACAGGCCACAACAGTTCTGTGTTCTCTTCAAGGTCCGATGGCAAAAGCAAAACCTCAGTCCTTGTGTCTACTGGTTCACTTGTCCTAGGGCAGATTTAATGTTAACTGGGGAGGAAAAAATAAAATGGAGGGGACAGAGGAGTGGACTCTGTCTTCTAACGAGTACCATGTTCTTAACACTGTAAGATCCTACCCAGTCCTTTTTAGCAGTTTTACTGGATAGCGCTGGTACAAGACCTGGGGACAAGTTAGTAACTGCTTATCGGTCACAATGAACCATTTCCTCCTTCGCTTTTGAGAGCAGACACCACAGTCTGGTGTCAGCAAGGTCTCCTTACAGAGCCTGGGTGTGCACTATAGGCAGACACCCAGTGCCAGTTCCAATAAGGTCACTTTTGTTCACCCTGTAACCTCGCTCTTTATTTATTTACAATTGTAACAACTCTCAGGTTTTAGCCACTGTAACCTTTGCATTGCAGATCATCAGGCATTACTGGATACTCTGTTACACCCCTTCCAACCCAAACTATTCTGTGCGCTTAGCAAAGGTTACTGCAGGAAGTTTCTGTTTCTTGGCGAGACCCAGCCCAGCCGGGGGAGCTCAGGGCGCAGAGCCCCTGAGCCCGGGGCCGGCCCGCACAGAGCCGGGTCCCCCGTCGTCGGCCCCCGCCCGCCCTTCTCCCCCAAAGCTGTTTCGGCACAGTCACAGGGACGCGAACCCCA